CATGAGACTTAAATATTGGCTATTTGGTCTTTTTTCCTGGTTTGGCTGGTATATAGGAATTATTAAAGAACGTTTCTGTACTTAAGTAGCAGAAATACAGACTGACAAGAAGTAAGGGGCGAATGCTTTCTCCTTTTGTTTCTCTGTGCTTTAAAAATTCATGCTTGGTTTTGCTACTTATCCAGGCTGGTGCTATGGTCACGGTAGCAGAAAGTTTCTGGAATGATGTATTCTATTAGTGTCTGTCAAAGCCATCTACTGCGTCCTGTCTAGCAGTGACCTTGGACATGAGATTCCAATTCTACTGTAGGTATGGCAACCAAAGAGCCCTGTAGTGTTGGAACAGTTATTTTTGCTTGCTGCTTTGCCAAATTTTGTGGCTTGATGTGCTTGTGTTCAGGGTCACTGAATGGTTTGTCCCTGATGAAACTTGTCTTGGAGATTTACTTTCGATTTAATGCTGTTGAGATATAGTGGGACACGGAAGAGGTGGTGGGTCACAAGGACTCCACCCTGGTGAGGGAATGAATGCAGTTCCTGTGAGAGTGTCATCGTGAGAGGATTGTTGCAAAACCCTTTTGTGCAACTTCCGTCTTCTGTTTGGGTCTGCCTGCCCTTAGCTTTCCACCGTGAATCAGAGCAGCGCAAGGCCATCGCCAGAAGCAGACTCAACACCAATGGCCAACTTGGACCCAAGTTAGCCTGTTGAAAAATTATCAGACCTCAGATGTTCTTTTACAGCATCAGAAAACATGCTAAGCCAGCCCCATTCAAGGTTCTAAACACTATATCTATATTTAAATTTGCATAGTTGAACATCAGAATAGTTAATAACTATAGTTAACCACAAGCCTGTAGACCAGACTGATGGGTGCAGTGGAAAATGACCAGTGAAATGTACCCCGAAGTGGCTGGAGGAATAACGTTGCTGTCCAGGTGTTGGTGTCTCGGAAGGCCAACGAATGGCTTGAAAGGTTACCTGTGTGAAGTTATTCATGAGTAGGAATCTTTCCCTGCTAGGTAGTCCTCCTAAGATGCTACTGAATATAACCGGAAACAATTACATAGTACCCAGTAATCCTAGGAAATGGTCACACTGTAGTGAAGGAAATTAAGGCAACAGTGAGGTTATTAGAGTCCCAGCAGTGAGGTGCAGGAGAGGGTTGAAATGACATTGCCAATTTATAAGTTCTATTTATAGTCACTGGAACTTTCCAAGGTTGTTCAGGCTCTGGAATAATGTGTTTTGGATGGTTTCTCAGCTTCAGTGTAAGTTTATTGGAAGACCATAGGTAATTGTGTTCTTTCATTTGAGTTTATGCAGTATATCAGGGAAAACAGAATGCTATTTTTGAGGGAAAAACCTAAAGACTTTCTCCATATATGAAATAGCTATGTGTGACTTACATATAATAACGTGGTGACAGCACAAATCATTTCAAACAAAGATCTTAATGGAGTAAGTTTAATTAGAAAATTCTAGCAAGCAACACATGCTATTTCAGCTGTTTGTATGAAGATAAGCATCCCTTTATTTCCAGAAAGATAGTTTTTCAGAGAAAAGATGTATCAAATGATTAGAGTCCTGTTTTCTAATATACCACTGAAACAAGGAAATTCATATAATCCATCAGCAAATATTCTGGCAAGTGTAATATTTATTAAGAAGCTGGGGACCAGCTGCATGTTCTCCCAGATTACTTCATAAATACTTAATAACATATTCTATCATCTGCCTTTTGGGTTTACCACTGGTGGGTCCAAATCTGATTTGCAATTTTTGTGCCAGGATATTTAAATCACTTTTGTGAGAACAAAGTGCCATTGTCTTGCCCAAAAAGAAAGAAGAAAGAAAGCAAGGAGTCCCCAGAAATGCATGTTTAACAATTTTAGGAAGTAGACTGGTAGGGAATGTCCCTCTGGGGAAATTTTTTGTTTTAGAAATAAGACACAAAAAATCATTTGCTCACCAAGTTGTCATTGTAAGTATTTGCTGGAAATTCTCATGATAAAATGAGTAAATAAGTGAAAGCAACTAATTTTATTCATTTTGTCCGAATAACCGCTCTAGAGAGGTTGCTTGTCAGCTAGTCAGCGCATCACAGGGTGGAAATGCCTCAGACAGACACAGGTACATTTTGTTCATTTCTGCCTTGGGAATGTGGGATTTTGTTATTGTTACTGTCGGATATCTGCAAACTAAAGAAATGCTGGCCTCTTAATCCTTGTTTTTTTTCCGTGTGGATATTTACCTGAACAGCACCACGTGTTGGAATGACTACCTTATCTTTATTACACTGACTTTGCTTTTTGTCGAAGATTGCTTGAGTATAATGATGGTGTCTACTTCTTGGCTCTGTATTCTATTTGCCTATTTTCGCCACTGTCTCACTGCCACGATTATTGTAGATTTATTGTAAGTTTTGAAGTCATGTAGTGTCAATTCCTCCAACTTTCTTTCCCTTCAAAATTTTGTTGGCTTTTAGAGGTCTTTTGCCTCTCTGAGCACTCTTCAGAATCAGTTTGTTGATATTAACAAAATATCTTAGTAGGGTTTTTCACTGAAACTGTTAATAGGGAGGGTCAATTTTTTAAAAACAGCATTGAGTCTTTCTATCTAGAAACACAGAGTAGTCTCTGGTTGTTTCTTTCCAACAAAATTTTTGTGGCTTTCCTCTTACAGATACTGCACTTTGACGTACAGTTCTTTATATATTTTGGATTTGTAAAATAGTTCATTTTTATTAATACACAGCATACTAACAATGTTATCTTTTCATATAATCAAGGTTAAAAAATAGCCTATTATTATCCAATGAGCAATATTCACCTGACTTCTCTCTCAGTTGAATAATTATTTTTAGGTAACACAATTATTTTTTCCCATTTATTCTTAAGTTGCCTTATAATTTCAATAAAAGTCTTTAGCTTTCACTTACTAATTTCAATAGGGAAATTTTCCATGTCAAAAGACTTCCCACATATTAGTGCATTTTTCCAAGGCTTCTACTTAACCTCGTTGCTTTAGAATGGAGTAAGGTGTTTTGAAACCTGAGTATGATACTGATAACACTTCCAAATGGAAACATGAAGTCCACAAGAAAGGCACATTCCCAGCCTCATACATCACGGCAGTCATATGGATATCCATTTTCTTCTGTGGGTACAAATGGCAGGAGCCGGGGAAGACTTCAGGCTATCAACGCACTTGTAAAATGGATAAAATTCCAATTATATGTTAAGATTGCATCTCTGCCAGAAATGTGAATACGTTGGAAGAGTGCTTCACCTTTTCTTCAGTGGCCTCCTTGGTCTCCAGTTAGAAAGAGAGCTGTAGGAGGGCCGAGCTCCTTAACCAGTACAGACTCAGTCTGGAATGAATGGAGCAAACCTCCTCTCTTATGACGAATACCTGAATATAAACTGCCGCTTTCAAGAAGGACGATTTTTAAACTAAAGAGAATTCCTGTAGACTGACAAAGAATAGATTTATAACTTTACAGTCAGTAACTTATGCAAGTAATATTTGTGAGTTAAATGTCATTATGAACTATATTTTCTTTTAACTAAATTTCATGTTACACTAAACAGTAATCATGGCATATTTCTATTATTAACTGTTATAACGTTTTTGTTTGTGAAGTATGTATTAATAAAAGTGGATATATTACCCAGACCTTCTGATTTCAAATATAACTGAAGAAAATCATTATAAATAGAATAAACAGAAATCTACATAAACATGAGTTAGTTTAGTTAAAAAAAATGCAATGTTAGTGCCATTAAGTCACCTCTGATTAATATGCATGTGGAAAATAAGTTTACATTCAAGAATATGTTCATAGCAAACAAATATAGAATTTATTCAGTAAGAAATAGCAAAACAATTCCAGTGAGTGGAAAATAAAATAACTTCAACCACATATAATTTATCATGTACACGTTCCAAGATCCCTAGAATTTAAATATAAAATTTATAGAACAGCTTTCTAACGTACGTCCTAGGAAAACCAACCAAAAACTGGTACACTAAAAGATTGTGTATATATATCCATGTTTAACCTGTGTGCAAAAACTGAAAGAGATAGAGGAAATTAAAAGTTTCAGAAATATCTGGAAGATATATTAATACTTCAAACACCTGCCAAATAAGAAGAGCTTGTGCTATTTCTAATACTGAAGTAAGTTTCTGAATGTCAAACACCCTAAGAATGTAACCACTCTCTTTGAGCATTTACATCTAGTTGTAAATTGAAGCACAAGATGATCTTCCAAGAACCCTTCCAACTCCACCTATATTCTCTTTATGAAATGTAAGCTTCCAGGCAATGATCACATATACAAACATTATAAGTGAGTTGGGGTTCCTGACTGCAATGTTTTAGCCAAAGGAAAGGAATTCTAAATTCTGCCCAGAACATACCTGACCTTTTGGACATGAGCATTATTTTCTATGCCAGACAAAACAAGTATGACCTTTGAGATCAAAGCTAAGCTTGACAAAGAACTCTTAACAAACTGAATACATGAGCCTCCTCAACAAAGATGGTACTTTAGGCCTTTACACATGACATATGAAAATGATAGTGTTTTATTTAAATTTGGTCTTTCTCCATCTTTTCTGAGTCCTGAAAGGTTAGAAAGTCATTATTTGTACAGGTCATGGAATCCCTTTCTTCTCACAACAGGCATATATACAGCATCATATATCAAAGTAATATTATAAATGGAGCATAAAATTCAAGGAGCAGATACACTTCACAAGAAAGTGGCTCTAAGCATTATGTGGCCTGTTCCAATAAAATGCAAACATTAAAATGCCAATTTAGCAGTTAAAGTGCTGTTATGAATCCCACAGCTAATTTCTCTACTCATTATATGTACCCATAAGGAAGAAGTAAAGGACAAAGACTTTTTTGTTTAAACAAGTACTAACTTCAAAATAACACACTAACCAGACGTCAGCATTTGAAAGCTAGGTTGAATAGGGCTGGCCTTTATACACATAAAAACAGGTTTGTTCTCAGAATATAAAACTAAAGAGTAACGCCAATGTTACCATCACTTTGATATTTATGATTAATTACTAACATTACAACTCCCAGAAGAAAGGAGATGGATCCAGTGGTGATGTAAGCAATTGCCAAAAATGGGTTTTTTCCTCCCATCCATGAAATGGTACTCAAGATCATCCTTTTTCGTCCATCGAAAGAATGTACAGGGTAATTATACGTGACATTCAAATAGTATCGCCCAGCTGGTAAAGTTGGCTCTAAATCATTTTTCTGTTCTATAACACGATACAATTTACGAAAAGTAGGCAATGCTGCAGTGCGCATCCAAACAATCAAATCCTCGTTGATGAATCCATTATCATCATCTTCAGAATCCAGCATATACACTGGTTTACGCCAGTTTAGTGGCTTTGTTGTGCCTTTAAATCGTTCTTCCAGGCTTCCTTCTCCAGGAGGATTTCTAAATTTCACATTTTTATCTGTCCACCAAGCAATACCTTTCTTTTTCAAAGGAATAGGTACTGGAGTAGGGTCAGATTCATTGGTGATCTGATACAGCTCTAATGTATCATTAAATAAACTGTTGGCGATTGCTCCACAAGGAGCAATCGGTTTGTCTTCATCTCTTCGATAAGGCTCACATTCACTACTGGGGTTAAGCAAAGCCCTAGTATCCCCACTTAGTTGGCTGTCATCTCGAGATTTCACATAATGACGATGATTTTGATAGAAATTAGACAGTCCATAGTACATATACACACTGCCCTTGAATGCTTCTTCCAGGGTGAAGTTAATGGTACAAATGCAAGGTGCCACAAATGGAGACAGACACTTATTGCAGGGACTGGAAAGCTCAGTTCCAGTGTAATCAACCTCAATCTCTTGGATGCTGTTGGAAGTGATTAAGATGCCAATGCCAATGGCGGTAAAGAGGAGGCCAACGAGGAAAAAGAAAGGCATCACGGTGCCTGCGGTAAGGATGGGCTGCCAGGCGGGAAGCCGTTGCTGTTTGAAGGCAGTGTTGTCTGGCCTCCGGGTTTTGGGGGCACCCCCGGGAACACAGTGGGGCCTACTGTACACTTCAGGCTTCACACTGTAGCTCGTCGCCATTGAGCCCAGGGGTCTGTCGACGCCGAAGTGTCCCAACTGCAGACCCGTACAGGAGAGGGCCGGCTGCCACAGGAAGTGCCTGGAGACGTCACTTCCGCTGAGGAATACTAACAACCGGAAGTGAAAGTCAGCTGGAGATGCCCAAAGGAGAGAAGAGGAGTCCAAAGAAAGAGCAGGTTGAAGGAACAGAGAGGAGGAACGGGAGAAGGTTGAAAGGTTGACGAGTGTCTTCATTGTGATCACACCATGAGGGGCTCACCCTTCAGGCACTTTTCTGGATTTGGTTTGTCAACATTTTCTTGAGCATGTTTGCATCTGTGTGCTGTGTAGTCTTTGGTTTTGCTAGAAGGATGTTGTTGGTTGGACTCCTAGAATGAGTTAGGATGCCATAGCTGCTTATATGTTCTGGAAGAAACCGCAGAAAATTGGTATCATTCTTTTTCAGACGTTAAAAGAAGTGAACAGTGATCCCAGTTGGGACTGGTATTTTATTCTTTTAGAAAGTTACTAATTATTGCTTCAGTTTCTTCATTCAGTAGATTTAGATCAACTTAGATTGTCTACATCACTTTTGAGAATTTTGTCAGATTCTGTCTCAATAATCTAGGTCAGTTCTTGAAGTTATCAAATATGGGCATACAGAGTTTTTCATGTCAGTTATACCTTTATTATTCTTTTAGTGTTCACAGGACCTGGTAGTGATATCCTTTGTTTCATTTCTCACAGTGTCTTGGCTCTTTTTATCTTAGTTTGGCTAAAGGCTTATAGATTTCATTGATTTTTTCAAAGAACCAGCATTTAGATTGATTTATTTTCAGTATTCATTTAGTGTTTTAAATATCATTGATTTCTGTTGTTTTAAAAATTGTCTCTTCTAATCTTAATTTCAGTTGGCTTTTTTCTAGTTTCCAAGGTAGAAACTTCAAATATTGATTTCAGGTATTTTCTTTTCTAATACATGCATTCATTGCTGTATTTGTTCTATAAGCAATGTTTTTGTACATTCCAAAAATTTTGATGTTGTTTTCATTTTCAATTAGCTCAAAATAAATTTAAATTTTTTCTTAAAATTTCCTCTTTGACTCATTTGGAGTGTTTTATTTAATCTTCATGTATTTAAGGGTGCCATAGTTACCTGTTATTCATTTCTAGTTTATTTCTATTGTGGTGTAAGATTAAAATAGAAATTGTATGAAGAATGTATCTTTTGTTGTTGTTGGTTATAGTCTTATAGATGCTAATTATTTCCAGTTGATTGATGGTATTACTCTGAATTGAACATTGACATTTCTGATTTTCTACCTGCCTGATCTGTCATTTTTTTATTGTAATTGAAATCTTCAGTTATAATAAGGAATTTATCTGTTTCTTACATTTCTATCAGTTTTTGCCTATTTCAATTGTCTGTTTTGAGGTATACACACATGAAAGATTGTTGTATCTTCTTGACAATTAATCTTTTCATCATTATGTATATCCCTTTTTATGATAACCATCTTTGTTTTTGTATAGCTACTTCTAATTTCTTTTCATTTGTGATAATATGGTATGTTGTATATGTCTCTGCCTATTTACCTTTACTGTGTATGTATCTGTATTTAAAGTGAATTTCTAATAATCTACATGTAGTTGAACCTTTAAAAATTCACTTGAGTAATTCTGTCTTTTAATTGGTATGTTTAGAAGATTGATATTCAAGTGAGTATAGGATAGCTGGATTATTATTTACTATGTTAGCTATAATTTTCTATTAGTTACCTTTTTAAAAATTTTATTTAAAGAAAGATTAAACAAAACAGAAAATAGGTAGAAATAACACATACGATCAGAGAAAAAGAGTAAGAAATCACTAGTTGATGTTTACATATTGTCGTTTTTACAAATAGTTGTTCAAAATACAAAAATGGAACATATAAAGTGGGAATTCAAATAGTGGGAATGCAAACAGTTCTGTTCAACTATCCAACAAAAACTTAGTAACATGGTTGTCAATCCTATACACTTAAACATACTTGCAGTTATCAATATCTTCATTTATGTTTAGATTAAACAAACTAAAGCAGATTAAAATCATTCTGAATGAAGAATAATAGTATTGCTGGAATTCACATCATGACATTCCGTGATCAGCACTGGGTACTGTAGTGTCTTTTTAAAAAAAAAATTAATTTAAAGAAAGACTAAACAAAACAGAAAGCAGGTAGAAATAATACATAATTTCAAATAAAAAAGTAAACAGTAAGAAATCACTAGTTGATGATTACAGATTGTCTTCTTACAAATAGTTATTCAAGATACTGAAGAGCTTACAGTGAAATTGCAACCAGTTCTGTTCAACTATCCAACAAAAACTTGGAAATATGGTTATCAATCCTATACACTTAAACATACATGCAGTTATCCATATCTTCAATTATGTTGAAATTGAATAAACCCAAGCAGGCTAATATCACTCTGAACAAAGAATAATACTGTTGCTGGGTTTCACATTATGATACTCCAAGATCAGCACTGGGTATTTTAGTGTCTCTTTTTCTTCAAAGTATCTGTTCATTTCATCATGTGTTATAAGATCAGTTCTTATAAACTGTTTATAGATTCTACACATGCATGAGTCTTAACATGGATTTCTATCCTTTCTATATTAGAGGGAGAAACAAAACGAAGCAAGCAAAACAAAACATATTCCTACAAACACATGAAACAAAATAAACATATAAGACCATTGTACAAAGAGTTCTACCATGGTTCCTGTGTTGTCTCTTATTGTCTCCAGTAGAATTGGCTATATCATCAGACATAGTATAATTGAATATATCAGTACATAACAGTATTAATAAAAACACAACTTTGTATGTAGTATAGAACTTCAAAAACTGGCAGTTATCAAACCAGAATGTGTATCATAGAGTCTTGTTATCTTCAGTATAATTGCCTATACTTTCAGACTTGATACTATCAATCATATCAGTTTTGAATAAAATCTTCTCTGCCTCATTTCTGTTATGCTGTTTTTTTGCCATCAGTTGTCTGCTTATCTTCTTCATTCTGTTTTCTGCTCCATTCATTGAAGCCTCTCCGTCACTGTTCCTGGAATCCTAGTACTTTTGTCTGTCTCTAGAATGCCCTGCAGTATTCTCTGTAGAGTAGGATTGGTGGTTGTGAATTTCCTAAGTTCCTCTTTGTCATGAAAGCATCTTGTTTCTCCATTAATTTTCAGAGACACTTTAGCAGGGTATATCAATCTGGGCTGGAGGTTATTTTCTTTCAGGGCTTGGAATATTTCACTCCAGGCATTTCTTGACTTGATGGTTTGTGTCGAGAAGTCTGCCGTTATTCTGATGGGCCTTCCTCTATAGGTTATCTGTTTCTGGTCTCTAACAGCTTTTAATATTCTGTTCTTATATTGAATTTCTGGGATTTTGATTATTATATGCCTGGGTGTACCTCTGTTTTAGTTGTAGGTGGCTGGAGTTCTGTATGCCTCATATATCATAATATAATTTCCTTTTCCTATGTTTGGGAAGTTTTCCTTAATTATTTCTGTGAATAAACTTTGTAGTTCCTTTGTACCCCCGCTTCTTCATTCACATTCTTCATTCTCAAGTTATAGGTCCTTTTGTCATCTTCTAGCCTTCATATTGTTACTTCTTGTTTCCTTGTTATTTTAAAAAAGTTTTCCCTTTTATACTCCCATATTGTGAAATTGTCCTCCAGTTTGGATAATTTATCCTTAGTTTCTTTCAAGCTGATTTGCCATTGTTCCATAGAGTTTTTAATTTCCTGGTGATCTCTTTGAATCTGCTTCATGTATTCTATATTTTTTTATATTCTTCATCAAATGGTTCTCTCTTTTGTTTGAGTTCCTCCCTTCTTCTGTCTGTGTCTGCTTGAGGGGTACTTAGTATTTCTTTTATTAATCTTCTTGTAGCTTGCTTTATTTGGCTAAATATTTCACTTTTGAACTCGTTTATGAGGTCCTGAATATATCTCTTTATGTCCACTGGTGCCGTGTCTGATATTGCATGATTGCTGTGCTCATTCTCCTTTGCATTTACCTGTCCTGGGTCAATGTTCTCAGGATTGGGACCTGGGGACTTTTTGTTATTGCTTCCTCTTCCCATCTTTTTTGCTTCTTCCAGGAGGCCCCAGTTTCTTTCTTTCTTGGTTACAATTCTTCTAAAGTGCACTGGCTAGATGACCCTTCACACTGCAGTGTGCTAGTGAGTTGCAGGCAGGGACAGCATATGCTGGCCCCTCCCCCCTGGATCAGTCAAGCTGCTGTGGCCTGCACTGTGTTACTTTGCCCCGCCTTCCCTCTGGGTGGCAGTGGCTGGAGTGAGGCCGCTGCAGCATCCGTGGTGCTGGGGGCAGGGGCGGGGTCAGCTGGTGGGGGCTGAGTCATTCCACTCCCCTAGCCTCTTTTAGGCCCATGGTGACAGGTCTCACTGGTGGCCTGGAGGCACTGGAGGCGTCAGCTGGAGCACAGTGGTGCGGGGATCAGTCAATCTGCTGTGGTATGCACTGTATTTCTTTGCACTGCCTCCCCTCTGGGTCAAGCTGTGGCCTGCTCTGTCAGTCAAACTTCTGAGGTTTCACTGGGTTAGTGTGGTTAGTGTGCGCCATCACTGTAGGGACTTGATTTTGGATAACCTATTGGGTCTCAGCCAAGACACGTGACCCAGGCCTAGCTCACTCCACCAATCCTGTTGGGGAAGGGAACAATTGGCTGAAGTCACTGCTGCCCCTTGTGCTTGCCAGTCCTCCTGGATCCCAGAATGTCGTCCGCCGGAGCCCCCCTATTTATGGAATGGCTCCACTCACATCACTTACCACAGGTCGATGTAGGCACCCTGCCAACTCAGCTCTCCTTTAGGCTCGCTGACCGCGGAACTCAATGTCGAAGCAGTGGGATCTTGGACGGCTTGGCAAGTTGCAGTGGGACCTCAGCAAGTCATGGCGGGACCTCAGATGGTCGGTAAGTCACCTTAATTTCTTCTTGGGACGAGAGAATT